CCCCCCCCCCGCCATTTGCCCTCCCCGTTCCTGTCACCTGCCTCTCGCTCCATCCCACGAGTCTGTGACAAAACGCAAAACACAGTTATGGCTGTATCTGCCATCGGGATCGCCACTTGATGATCGGGGCTATCCAAAGTCGCGATCCCGATGGCAGACGAATGCTGCTTATGAAGAGAAGAGATGGAAAAGCTTTCATCGAAAGAGGAGTCGGGATCTGAACCGTTGCCCAGGTTGCGATCGCGACACAACATAGAAGAAGAAGGTGGTCTTTCGTCTTTTCGTGCTCTCACCTCTCCCTCCTTCCTCCTCACTGTTGCCGTCCGCGTCGGGATCATGTTGGGATCCCGGCCGACCTGTTTCTCGTCTCGTATCTTCTCTTCTCTTCTCTTCTCTTCTCTTCTCTCTCTGTTCCTCGTCGTCTCTCTCTCCCCTCTCCCTCTTGAACATGGCCGCGACTTACTAGTAAATGTAGTTCCACTGGGATCCCAACAATCAACCTCATCCCGACAATCTCATTCCGACCTGATTTTTTTTCTTTTTCGCCCTTGATGATAGCGACTACCCCCTCCTCACTTGTTTGCCGTCATCGCGATCCCAACTTGCTTTCCTTCCAAGTCTCATCCCCACCCTCCTCCTCCACCTCCTCCTCCTCCAGTTCCTCACTGTTGCCTGCTCCTCTCATCGGGATCCCAACTTCTTCTCCTTCTCTAGTCAAGACCTCCACATCCTCTCTCTCTCGCTCTCTCTCTCTCTCTCTCTCTCTTTTCAAGATGGCTGCGCCTTGTTGGCTTCCGCTTGCTTCGACTGATGAAAGGAAATCCCTTTGGCCACATTCGCGAGAACGTTCACTCCCAGAACAACAGAGGTGATGGCCAGCGCTGCAGTGACGGCCTTGTACGCGAGGTCCCCTGGCTTTGCCATCGCTATAATCGGGGGGAAAAATCAGACAACAAAATGCACAGAGTCGAAGTGTTAACAAAAAAAAAGAAAAAAAAAAGAGTCAAAATAGGGCAGGCAAAAAAAAAAGGAAAAAAAAGAGTCAAAATAGGGCAGGCAGACGTCGCCGCACTGGCTTCGCCATCGCTATAATCGGAAAAGTTCAAAAAAAAAAAAAGCACAGAGTCGAAG